CGTGGCAGATTTTCCCAAAGTCGGTGACAGATTTCCCCAAAGTCGGGTATGCTTTCTCGCGAGCTACGTTAAGAACTTGCAAACACCAGCGGGAACATCCCACACCCCCAATGGAAACGGTCACCTGTTTGTGCGTTTTTGGTTACCCTACCCACAGAGTGTTACTACGGAAAACACAATGGGATGGGGACAGGCAAGTGGTCTGGACATTGGACCGGACCGGATGTTCTCTTCTCTTGTTCTGTGAGCGCAGCTTTGGCCCCGCGGCGCCCCGCGGTTGATTATCTGTGTGCTGTGTGGCAGAAGTGTAGCAGAATAGTATGTAACGCACTTTGTGTTAGCAATCAAAGTTTATCAAAATTGTCAAATTTCATTGCTCAGGCTTATGGAGTTTAAAAGCCAAGAGGGATGATGAGAACACACGCGAACGTAATGTGTAAGTAAGTCTAGCGAGTATACTGAAGTTCTTATGCATGTTGGCAGGCTCAGCTATTCAAACTGTTTGCGCCGTGCGCTTCCTGTCGCAACCCGTAAAGCGGCCACACGATAGGATGCCATGGCGCCCGACTCATGATGACTCATGAGCGCAAACAAGGGGCCATTGCCTAGTGTCACAGATGCAAATAATTCGAGGAATACGAATGCCAACAAAAGAAAGAGAGGATTCAAGTCCCGATCCGGGTTTCATATGCCCAACGGTTATGTTTACTTGTTGAAGTGGGCCGCTGCTCGCGACGGGGAGGCTGAGCTTACGAAAATGGATTCTTTGTGGCAGTCGAGAAAGACTTTGTTGTGCGTCGCTATACAGCTCGATCAGTTTGGGTTGTACTTCTGATGGCGGGCCTGCTGCCCGCTGCCCCGCATTTTTCTGGATTAGAGTCAGAGAATATATGTTAGTTAGTTACGTTCTCTTATATTTGCACTTGCGCAATGTGAATGTGAATTGGGTGAATTGAAGTTTTGAGTCTGAGGACGAGGTATTCATCTTTCTCTCAGCAGCTGGCGGGCATTTTGATGCCGACGCGTTCAAATTTTCGGGAAGGCTTGCTTCACCAATTCCGACGACGCGGCCGCATGGTCGGGAGATGTTCTCACTCCGTCACCTGTCGAGCCTGAGTTCCTCTGATGCACGGTTGTTCCTGGATACAGCGCCAGATGTTTTGTGCCTGGAAACCCGCGTGAAAGGTGTGAAGCCTGGTGACTATCTACAGTTCTCAAATCTGCTGAAGATGTTTCCAATCCCACTGGAAACAACTGATGCGACTCGCCGCCATGTGCGGTATCTCGTCTATTGAGTCTATTAATATCAATATATCAACTTATGTGACTGTATATTTAACATTTATACTTTATACTAGTATACATCTACGTGTAGTGTAGTGTAGATATTGACTTCACCGAATGGGCCCAGGTCCGGTCCCAGGTCATGCAGCGCATGCAGCCACCTGCCACCCAAGTTCACCTAAGGCACATCTCCTTGGGGCGGGGT